CAAGATAAGAGTCCCTGCTGCTTCATCTTGTGCTTGCCAGCCCTCTCCTCTGGGATCTGGGCCTTGTTTTCTATCCCAGCTGGGGTCCTGCCATCCACCCTATTTCCCATTTCTATTCTGGGAAGATGATCTCCAGATTGACCACCCATTTACTTAAGCCTGCTTACATTCCCCACACCTGGTGGCCCCACTTAACTACTCCAGGAATCAGATCTTATTCCAGCCTCTTGAGCTCCTCTTCCACACTAGCCCCTAGCTGACATGTGTGGCAATGTCAACCTAGACAGGATGGGGCAATTCTATTCCAACCAACTTCACCTAGTTCATTCAGTCAGTCAGATAAGCAAAACATCTGAATACATTTAAGTGGTTTCTCAACATAAATAATATATTTTCAAAGAGCTTTCTTATTCGTATTACAGACATAAACAAAATACATACACTCAAGGCATAAAATGTCTGTCTTGTGCTATTTCAAATTAAAAAATCATCGCAGATACAGATCTTCGGTGTTCTAATGGTGCCATAAACACATTCGATGGCCTTTTTTTTGAACAAAGAATTGTGTGAGATTTTACCTCTTGGGTTCCAAGTATGTTTTTGTTTGTTGGTAGAGAGACTTTGTTGTAAAAGTCTCCTCACCTAGAGCTCTGGTGATTTTTCATATTTTATTCATCTCTTTCATTCGGCTTCAAGTGAGGGAAGAACGTGATAAAATTCAAAATTTACTAAATTTCGTGGTAATGTCAGATATGGAACTTTCCTCTGGACTGTCTCCTTTCATTGGCGGTGTTACTGAAGCCTTTTGTTGGGAATGGTGCACCAACCATTCATTGGTTCTCATGGCTTTGCAGCGCAGGCAGTGCCTTTCACTCATTTGGTAACTTCCCAGATTCCTTTGCCTCTGAGCCATTTTTCTCCTCTTAATACTGTCTGGTGATGGGTGGTGTTCACTTTCACTCTCCTTCCATGAGGAGGCTTCTGAGTTAGATTCTTCACTGCCACACTCCGTAGTATCACTGTCACGTTGGTTCTGGTTCACCTCATTGAACTGAGACTGGCGCCTGGCTCGTCTTTGCTCAAGATAGGCATTGACCAAAGCCACTTCTGAGTTGGTTACAGGAGTAAGTTGGTTCTGCTTTGGTTTCTTCATTGTCTGTGAGGGATCCCAGGCACCGTCTTTGCTTTGCCACTTGTAGGAAGTCTCTTTGCTTGCTAACAACCAATGAAACATATCAAGTTAGTAACATTGTTGGTTACTATAAATTCCTATTACTTAAGAAGCCTGTGCACATATAGCTCACTCTTAGTGGCCATTTGTCAAGCCATTGCTTTTCTCCAGTCACCTGCAAGTGTTGGCAGCTGACTGCATTTTCCAGTACCATATCCCAACTCCTGCAGACCAGAGAGCTTAGATAGATGCTTGACATATCACTTTTGAAGTTTTGTGGATGCTAAACATAAGATCAAAGGAAAAGATCTTTAAACTTTTCTAGAGAAGAACCTTTTTTTCCTTTGAAAATTGAACTCTTAAAGATTCAAGCACGTATATGAATGTGATTTGGGGAGCAGGAACTAAGAAGGATCTTTCCTTTATGTAGTGGTGTGCTGAAGTTGGCTTGTACCCGCTCAGAAGAGCTGATAAACTTTCAGTAATTTTGCAAGATAGTTAAACATAGCCATTATTAAAAATTAAATTACACCAACTTATAATACATTCAATTAATAAAAATAGAAGTAATAAATACTCAAAACCCCTCACTTCCTAATTATCTTACTACATTTGATTATGCTGTGTGCTCTTCTGGTTTTTTATGTCTGTTGTATTTGGATGTTGGAAACTCTATGCTGTGTTTTCTTTTTTCTTTTTTTTTTTTTGAGACAGAGTCTTGCTCTGTTGCCCAGGCTGAAGTGCAGTGGCACGATCTCGGCTCACTGCAACCTCTGTCTCCCAGGTTCAAGCGACCTCTGTCTCCCAGGTTCAAGCGATCCTTCTGCCTCAGCCCCCCTAGTTGCTGGGATTATAGGCACATGCCACCATGCCTAGCTAATTTTTTTGTATTTTTAGTAGAGACAGGGTTTTGCCATGTTGGCCAGGCTGGTCTGGAACCCCTGACCTCAGGAGATCCACCCGCCTTAGCCTCCCAAAGTACTGAGATTACAGGTGAGAACCACTGCGCCCAGCGGAAATTCTATGTTAAGGATACACTACTGCACATCTCCTCCCAACTCCATGTTCAATGACATGCTGTGGGTAGCTTAAAATCAGCTTTGGTGGAAGTATTTATACCATGAAAATCAGCAAACACTAAATATCAGGGCTTGATGTATGGTTTTGTTGATTGTCTAGGCTTAAGAAAATGATGGAGAACATGTTACTAACGCACATTACATTTTAGTGTCATCCCTGTAGCCACTACATTGTGACTAACCCTGCAAAATGAGGAAATATTCTTCCAGTATTTTAGAACTATTATCCATTCCAGCAAAGAAGTCACTCACATCACTGACAACCAAGTTAACTTCCAACATACATCTATCTTCTGCTTCGCTTTCATCTCACTCCTTAGCTTAGAGGAAAATGACATTCACGCTGAAACTATACTTGTTCATCAATTGCAGCCATGGTTGGCTAAGGTGCAAGGGTCTGGCAAAAATCAAGGAGAGCGTTTTGTGAGAATCAGTTGTCTATATGAAATTGGCCATAAGGAGTATTGTATATTTTATTATTTATAAATGGTGTGATATATATTTACTTATTTAATTTTTATTTATTTAATTTTTTGAGTCAGGAACTCGCTCTGCTGCCCAGGCTGGAGTGCAGTGGCATGATCATGGCTCACTGGCAGCCTCGGACTCCTGGGCTCAAGTGATTCTGTTGCCTCAGCCTCCTAAGTAGCTGACACTACAGGTGCAAACAACCATGCCAGCTAATTTTCTTCTTTTTTTTTTTTTTTTTTTAGAGTCTCGCTCTCTCACCCAGGCTGGAGTGCGGTGGCATGCTGTCGGCTCACTGCAAGCTCTGCCTCCCAGGTTCATGCCATTCTCCTGCCTCAGCCTCCCAAGTAGCTGGGACTACAGGCGCCCGCCACCATGCCCAGCTAATTTTTTTGTATTTTTAGTAGAGATGGGGTTTCACCATGTTAGCCAGGATGGTCTCGATCTCCTGACCTCGTAATCCGCCTGCCTCGACCTCCCAAAGTCCTGGGATTACAGGTGTGAGCCACCGCACCTGGCCCTAATTTTCTTTTTTTAAGAGA